AGGTACGCAATATACCTTTACTTATTTGTCTATGGGATATTTAAACAGCCTTGTCATGGTCCATAACCTTTGTCACCAAGACCTGGATAATGTACCTACTTTGTTTCTACTCACTGCTGTCATTATATATGTGATATTCTCTTAAAATCTCAATTACTAAAGGTCATCCAGGAAGACCTGGATGCCACGGTGACTCGGTTTCAAGTCAGAGGTTGGCTATCACCCCACACAATGTTCAAAGACCAACAACTTTTATAAAATTCCTGGGTAATAGCCAAAGTTCTTGCTTTTGGTCTGGCCAATAGAAGAAGAACAATTTCATTATCCAGGATAATGAGCCATAGGGGCCATCCATTTGGCAAGAGCTGATGAGTATTGTCTTAAAATCTGGGTCACCTATGACCCTGCTCATACCAAGGCCAACAGTACTGAGGCTCTTTTCAATGAACAAGCTGACCCATCCATGATAGGTTGTCCTACAGGCTCAGCATGCATCCACTTGCTAGGGGACCCATTTGAACCTAAATTTCCATCACCTAAAAATTTTCTATACTATTCAAGCAATACTGAATGGATGATTAATCCAGCCTTTCAGTCTCAACCCCTCAAGGAAATTGAAATTATTGCTCCAGGGCCATTTCCACAGATGATGTGGACTACCAAGAAGGGAGATGAGCAATTCCACTTGATAAATTAAAATCACACTTAAAAATAATGTTAGAACCAACACTCTACCCCATCATGATAAAACCAGAACCCCCTCCTTGGTAATAATTCATGCCAGACAGAAACACCAAGCAACAAAAAACCTTTAAGATGTAGCTGTACACCATTCTGTTGGATCTTGGTCTTATTATGGGTTTAGGTACTTTCATTGGTTTGCAATCCAGACACACAAACCCTCCAAATAAGCCATTATTTCAACCAAATATGGCAAATTCTGAGGCCCAAATGCCATTGAATTTCAATAATGCAAACCCTGTAGCCCCAAATCTCAATGGCTTGCCCAACACCAACCAAGAAAAAAATAACTGAGACAGGGCTTCCCTGGTGGCGCAGTGGTTGAGAGTCCGCCTGCCGATGCAGGGGACACGGGTTCGTGCCCCGGTCCGGGAAGATCCCACATGCCGCGGAGCGGCTGGGCCCGTGAGCCATGGCCGCTGAGACTGCACGTCTGGAGCCTGTGCTCTGCAACGGGAGAGGCCACAACAGTGAGAGGCCCGTATACCGCAAAAAAAAAAAAAATAAAAAAAAAAAAAAAAAAATAACTGAGACAAAAACCCCATAGTAATTGGTTAAATTAGGGGGCTTGTCTGAAGCTAATACTGGAGCTCCAACCTCAGCCATGGATATTTTTTTTTTTTTTTTTTTTGTTGTGGTATGCGGGCCTCTCACTGCTGCGGCCTCTCCCGTTGCGGCCTCTCCCACAGGCTCCGGACGCGCAGGCTCAGCGGCCATGGCTCACGGGCCCAGCCGCTCCGCGGCACGTGGGATCTTCCCGGACCGGGGCACGAACCCCCGTCCCCTGCATCGGCAGGCGTACTCCCAACCACTGCGCCACCAGGGAAGCCCAGCCATGGATATTTTAATTGTCAAGCCATCTAAAAGCTTATTAACCACATGGACCCAAATCAGGCCTTATGATTTAAAACCTGTTTGCAGCAGAACTCCTCTCATCACCTATCTGGGCAAAACCTTGGACAACTGAGAACTTTTAGATTCAGCTACTTTTATGTGAAGCTTTAATTATGCCTGTCATGTTCTGGCACTTTGCTCTAATGACAGCAGTATCATGGATGCCAGCATCATGCTAGCTCTGCACCCACAAAACTTTTGACTTAAAAGATATTTGAAAATGAAGCTTCCAGGGCCCAACACTATCTTCACATTCTACAAGCTGCTCAGCCTCAGTTTAAAACCATAGAGCCACAAAGATATGACCCACCGCAACCTGAGTGCATATCTACATGGGAAGGATACTGCAGTATCACAGTGCCCAAGAGATGACTTCACCTCTGCCTCTCAACCAACAACCAGGAGTCCCAACTACACCAGAACTGGGAAATCCTCACCACCCACAGAAGACCCAGACTCTTGATTTTTCCAATGATTTATTACTATTGAGTCCTGCTATAAAAGGTGGGACCCACCAGACTGGAGTGACTTTCCAGATATAGCAATTTGCTTGTTGCATGACCCAACTCTACATTTTGATACTTGTAAAACAATAAGTTCTATCCCTATGATTATAATTCAACCTATACCATGCTAAGCCCCTATGGGACCAAGTCCAATATCTTCACAATGCTCCCAGGATTCAGGTTGCTCTAATACCATCCACCGCCCCTTCCTAAAGGACAGCCTTACCAAAGTATCCACACTGTGTGCTCTCCTAGCTTTAACAGGAGAATTCTGCTGGCCTCTCAGTGTTCAAACCATGCATTCCCCTTCATCCTCTTCCCTTCCCCCTCCACAGTTTTCAGCACCCACACCCACACCTTAGTCTGTCTATGCCTAAGTGTCTATGCCTCTTTCCCTCTAAAGGACTATAAGGCAAGTAAAATGCAAAACCAATACCCTAGACTCTTGAATATTTACACATCTAACATAGGCATACATTTGACTGAAATAGCCTCTCAGGCACTGACTACCCATAACTGTCAGACTTGCTATCAATCTGCTTCCACATATACCACACCACACATTTATTCAGGTGATATCTGGCCCAGAGAAGGAAAATATTGGGAAGTAGCCATCTCCCCTGATTCTGCAGCGCTCCCTCATGGCAAGTCACTGCTGTCATATTTCCTCAGTACATACCATGTAGGCGCTACTGACCCTCAACATATACTCAGCAAAAATTGCTGTCTTCCTCCAGTCCCATTCTTTGATAGTTACCATTTATCAAAATCAAGGTACAACTTTTCAATTTAAAGGCAACAGCACAGAACTACACTGTGGTCCTACGAATGAGGGTCTCATCTCCTCTACTTTGCCCTTCCATTACCTCCCAGCCACAAGACACATGGATGAACTCCAGCCTCTAAGGATCTTCAATTTATATAAACTTTAATAATTTTTCCTGACCCTGGCCAAACATCATCGACGTGCAGCATTTATACCTGTAATATTGGGATTCGCCACTACTCTGGGACTTGCTGGAATGGCCACATGGTTAGGCCATTGCTCTAACCCAACAGTCAAAAATCATTGAAACTAACCTACCAATGTCTGAAACTCTAGTATTTCATATTTCTAAAGTACAACAAATATTAAGCCTGCTTAATCAAGACCAGAGAACTCTGGCAAAAATAGTTTTTGACAATAGATTTGCCCTAGCTTGTCAAGGAGAAGTTTGTGATGTTATTAATACTTCCCTTTGTACACGGGATAAGAACACTAATCTAGTGTCCACTCAACAGAAAGCCTGGACCACAAAATCAACATCCTAAAAAGCATAACTTGTGCCTTTAGCGTACTCTGTAATCAACCAAAATATTACTGGAGGCCTCTTTCATGGCTGATTTATTCTTCTGGTTAACGTCAAACAAACGTGGAGCCTGGCTGCAAATCAGCCTTTCGGGACTCTTCATATTTTTCTTGCTTCTGCTTTCATTTCCTCCTTTTTACTGTCATAATGAAATGTTTTCTGTGCTGTTTAGGGCAACTTATATCCTACTCTCTAGAGGTCTCCTCTGCTATTCAGGCCACTCAAATACCCAAAATAATTGAGCTCAAAACTGATGTCAATCAATATATTTTTTCATTTACTCAGTCCTATAAAACACACAATGCAGTTTCAGAATTATTACACCTCTATCACTGTGAACAACAAGTTTACTAATTAGGGCTCAATATTTTTTAAGTTCTTTTTACCCTTAGACTGAGGGAATATAGTCAAAGTGCTGTGTTCAAAATTATTTGTTTTTGTTTTTGTTTTTCTATGTGAGGTGTTGTTCATTGGAAATACACTTGGGTTTTTTTATATTTACATTCAATTTTACTTTTTTCTCCAGTTTTGCTGATTTAATTTATTTTATTAATATGCATATTTAAAAATTCCAAAATCAAAACTATGCAAAACACACATGTAAAGAAGTGTCATTCATTCCTCACTCTTTTCTCCTTATCTACAAATCACCATCTGTTGGTAACCAATTTCTTATTATAATACCTTTCTAGTTTTCATTTGCAAAAATAAGGACTATATATGTATAAACAAACATGCGTACATGCATAGTTCCTCTTAATTTCTGACATTAAAAAGCATGCTACGGCTTCCCTGGTGGTGCAGTGGTTGAGAGTCCGCCTGCCGATTCAGGGGACATGGGTTCGTGTCCCTGTCCGGAAGGATCCCACATGCCGCAGAGCAGCTAAGCCCGTGAGCCATGGCCGCTGAGCCTGCGCTTCCGGAGCCTGTGCTCCGCAACGGGAGAGGCCACAACAGTGAGAGGCCCGCGTACTGCAAAAAAGAAAAAAAAAAGCATGCTAACTTTACTTTTTAAAACAAAAACAATAGTATATGCTGAAAATCACAAATAATTAATAATTCATACACATCACGCTCTTTTTTTGTATAGCTTCATAATATAACATCTTAAGTATGGGATTCAGATTATTTTTGATGTTTTGCAATTAAAAATAATGCTGCAATTTTTAAAAAAAGAAAACTGATGTCAAAACATTAAGGGCTCAACTGAGATAGGTATAGACAAAATTTTTAATTTTAGTTTAATAAACTTTTAATTTATTGTGCTGTCTTGACTCAGTTTTGAGGCCCTGGCTAGAGACTAGACAGCTCCCCTTCTTGAACAACTGATTAAGTCCACACCTCAACCACTTTCCTTATCAGGCTCACACACTCTGGGGCCACTATACACTTATCCTAATCTCTACCAGGCCAGGTACCAGACAACTAGGGGACAAACCCATGCCCCAGGGCCCACCAAACTTATTAAAATTAGCCAATCCATAGAGAGCCCGGGAAACCTAGCTAACCCCACCCTGCTTGCCATACATTACCTGCACCTACAGCTCAAGCTTGCTGTTACATTGTCTCCAGGTATAACCCACTGTGCCATCCTGCCTGGCAGCCTTCCCTCCTTCGGAGCTGTAAGTAACAGAAAGTTCTGCTTTTCAGTGTGTTGTGCCCCACCACCAAAGGAATCTTTAAATCTTATAAAATATAGTTCTACATAGGCTTTAATTACCATTTAATATATTAAAGCTGCCAAGTTTAAAAATTACTTTTTCTAAAGCTTTTGTATTTTTAGGCAGAAAATACAAATTATACTTAATCCTTGATGAATATTCAATCTAATGTTAATTCCCCTAAACATACAATGGAATTGATAGGCCTGGTTAACTAAAAGTTGCTTTAAATATTTTAAAATATATGAATTATAAATTTAGTTTATTGGAGTCTCTCAAATATTTCAAATGCCTGACATGTTAGTCTTTTACACACTTGACAAGTTAAAGGCCAGGGTAGGGGTGGGGGGAAGACTTTTCTAATAATTAAAGTAACTCTGGTAAAAGTAATAAATCAAATGTATGCATTAGTAAATTATGTTCTCTTAAATGTTTAAACACTGTAGAAACTTAAGAAAGTTCTCTTATACCTTTGAAATAAAATGGCTCATATATAATATTCTAAAATGTCAAGTTCTATTAACTGTTTTGAGCACCTTAAAAATAATATTTCATAGATTATTCCAATGGTTAAAGTATTCCTAAACTCAATACAAACATGTTAATACTGTAGGTTTTATTAATTTCAGCTTTACTGTTTTCACTGTTTTGCATAGTCGCTGACTAAAATAGAGAGTAGGGACATATGATCTCGTTGGGCTGAGGTTACTGTATCAGAAGATCAGGGTCAAGGTTGAAATGTCAATTAAAGAATTTGAGGGCTTCCCTGGTGGCGCAGTGGTTGAGATTCCGCCTGCCGATGCAGGGGACACATGTTCGTGCCCCGGTCCGGTAAGATCCCACATGCTGCGGAGCAGCTGGGCCTGTGAGCCATGGCCGCTGAGCCTGCGCGTCCGGAGCCTGTGCTTCACAATGGGAGAGGCCATAACAGTGAGAGGCCCACGTACAGCAAAAAAAAAAAAAAAAGAATCTGAGAGAGGAGCAGGGACACAGTTAGGTATTACCCAGGGCCAGGGAGCCTCCTCATGAGCCAAAGGTCAACATGTGGGTGTGTCCTTGAGGCAATGGAACTTTTCAAGCTCACACCATTTTGTACAACCTTGTACATTATGTGTATCTTTCCCCAGTTTTTAATGTTAATCTCTTTTACAACTTTTAATTGTCTGATTTGTTAGTCGATACTCCCTCTACAGGCTAATACTCTTCACCACTTGACTAAATTTATCTCTTTATTGCATGGTTGGAGTCTGCATGTTTTTATACTTTACGTATCTTGTTCATTATCGATAAACCTATTGTCATTTTATTGACTATTCCCTACCTGATTAACACAATCAATTTGATACTTATTTTAGAATATTACCTCTAGGGTTGCATCAAACTCACGATCTGTAGCTCACCTACATACACCCTTCCGTCTCTGCGGTTTGGGCTAGCAGGTGCCAGGATACAGTCATCGTACGGGAGTCTCCACTGTACCTTGGAGTTCCTGGCTGCAGTTCATCCATCTTATCCAAACATCCCCTCAATACCATGCATCTTATACCTCTTGAAAAGACATAAATCCATTGAAAGCATGGAGCTATTGCCTTGGGAACTTTTGCCTATTTTATTCTTTGCTTCTGTCATGCCAACATTTGTTTTAATCTTTTAATTTGTTGTAAATATGTGTTATAAACATAACGCTTTCTTTAAAAAAAAAAGGAGTAAACAGATCTTTTATGGCACCATTGGGCAGGGTAAGGCAGGTGGGCAAGATGTGAAATTAGAGGTGCTTAGTGATAATTTTCTGAAAGTGGAGATGAAAGGCTTGAAATACGACAGTGCTATCCTAGTAAAGGTCAGCACGAGGTAGGTGAATTCCTCCAAAGCCTTCCTTGACCCAGGCTGTTCTATGTGTCCTTTGTTGGTGTGACTTTAACATCTAGTTAGGTTTCTCTTGTTGCCTTTGCCTCACTACTTTATAACTGTCTGCAGTCGAATAGTATTGTTTTGAGAAGCAAAAACGTTGAGACCTGGGTAGAGGTGGTATTAATGTGAAAATATGATGCTTAAGCTTCAGGACACTCCACTTGCTTGAACCCACTTCCGAGATCCTGGAAAGGCCCTAGAAATGTCTTCAGGTGGACATATGTTTACATAAAATTTACAAAAGATATTTAACCACAATTATACTTTGACATCTCACTATCATCAGGCTTCCTGTATCAGATGTTGTTAGAGAGGCTGCAGGTATTTTGAGATCCAGATGAGGGAATGTTGAATTTTAGTTTGGGTTTAATGGGATATATTTATGTGGTTCACAGTCATTTCTGTATATTGATAATTTATTGCTAGCCATTATGGTAGCATCCACTATGCCAAAACAAACATGCAGAGCCCAAAGTCTTATCAAAATGCAAAAGTGTTCTAACAGCTCCCAGCTCTGGAAACTGGTAGACTGTGGAAGAGAGACTGAAATGTAGAGACAGAGCAGACTGTCGGAAAAAAATTTCAATCACCAAATATATAAAATTGTAGACAGAGAATTTGGTTCTCATCCTAGTCAAGACAGAAATTTTTTTCACTTAGGAATAGATCTGATAGTGCTTTATATACAATTTAAACCACATCATATTTTTTGATGGGAATAATACAAAATTAAATTTATGAGAATCCTGCTTGTAAGGCACAAGTGTGAAGCAGAACTTCAAATGTGTGTGAAGTTTTATGCATCCCATTATCAATAATAAAAAAAATTTAATCAACCAGCCTGGAAGCCTAAATTATCTTTCTATTCTCTCTATAGAAAATGATATACTTTTTGTCATATGAAGAGGTCATTGAAGGTTATGAAACAAAAATGTAAGGAAAAGGTATTACAGAGTTGTATCAGGCAGTTTAATATAAAATACTATATTATTTTTCTGGATTTTGTGATGTTTTGATATTTGCTAAATTTTTTAATGTTTGTTATGACTTTTTTGTCCTGAGTACATATTCACCTTAGTAACTAATTTTTATTATTAATTTTGTATTCTTTTTTGTGAAAAAATTAAATTTACCATTTTAAGTGTACAGTTCTGTGCCATTAAGTACATCGTATTATTGTACAACTGTCACCACTGTATCCATCTCCAGACCTTTTTCATCTTCTCAACCTGAAACTCCATATCCATTAAACAGTAACTCCCCAATTGCTCTTCTCTCAGCCCCTGGTACCACTATTGTACTTTCCAGCTCTGTGAATTTGACTATTCTATGTACCTCTTATTAGTGGAATTATATTTGTATTATTCCTTTGTCCTTTTGTGTCTGGCTTTTTTCACTTAGCATAGTCTTCAAGGTTCACCTATATTGTATCATTCCTTTTAAAGGATGAATAATAATCTATTGTACGTATATACTATGTTTTGCTTATCCATTCATCTGTCAACAGACATGTGGGTTGTTTCTACCTTTCGGCTATTGTGAATAAAGCTGCTATGAACATGGGTGTACAAATATCTGTTCAAGTTCCTGCTTTCAATTCTTTTAGGTTTATACCCAGAAGTGGAATTGCTAGATCATATGGTAGCTCTATATTTAATATTTTAGGAACCACCATACCATTTTCTACAGTGGCTGTACATTTTATATTCCCACAAACAATGCACAGAGGTTCCAATTTCTCCACATCATTGCCAACACTTGTTATTTTCTGTTCTTTTCGTTTTGTTTTGCTTGGCTTTTGATAATAGCCAACTAATGGGTATGAAGTATGTTCCATATTTCAGAGGGTCTCCAAAACTTGGGTCTTCCTTGGACTCAGGTCTGAATTTCAGTTCCACCATGGTATATGGTCCATTTACTCAATTTCTCTATGATTTTTGTTTCCTCATTTATAAAATGAGGGTAATAATAAGCCAGCCTCTAGAATTGTTTTGAAGATTTGGTGAAGTAATATATGTGACACCATTAACACAGTGCCTACACTTAGAAAGTAGCAGTACTTTTACTATTATTTATTTACACATCTTTCTCCTGTACTATATTTGAGCTCCTCACTCATATTTTTATCTATAAAACCTAGCTTGGGGCCTGACGCACAGTCAGCATTTAACAAATATTTCATGGTTGAGCTTATATTAGTCTGTAGAACACAGGTCACAATTCTTTTAGCCACTGTGAATATAGGAGTTCAAAAGTTCCTTAATGCAGAACTGAAAGTACATATCAGAATTTTGCTGCTCTGTAATTCACTCTATGCAATTAAGGTCTTATCAGTATAGTAAACTCTGTATTGTTCTCCTTCTCTAATGCTCACTCATGCTCAGCAAATAGTTTTATTTTTCTCATAAAGTTATAAGTCAAAGAGCCTCTCTGGGTATTACTTTGTACAAATATTTGTCCTGGGTGGACTCTACCTGACTATTGCTCACAAGATTTTGGTGCCCCAAGGGCAGATGAGATCAGTAGCATGTGTTTTAGGGTACCACCTCAGCTGAGCTGATTTCTGCTTAGGTGCACTATATGTGACACAAAAGCCTACAAGATTTGGGGATCCCATTCGTAGGTGGGCCTTAGGGTTCAAAACCCTAAAACTGTATTTGAAATTGAGGAGGGTATGTGAGTCTGAGAATATGTGCAGACATAGATAGGACTTTTATCAGAATCTCAAAGGAGTTCATGACCAAAAAGGATTAAAAATGACAAATCTAGAAGGCCTGGGGCACCTGACCCATTATCAAGTCAGAGTCTGAAGTTTAGGGAAAAAAATAGAGCTCTTTATACAAATTGTGATTTAGGTTCAGGCCTTAGGCAAGATAGGACTAAGCCACAGAATCAGCTCCCAGCCCCAAGTGTCATTGAAACTGGAGGGATAATTTAAATCTCCTTTAAACTTCCTCTACCTACACGTGGGATTGGTCCAGAGCCTGTAGATTGATGCTAAAGATGGTAATAAAGTCATAATAGTTGGGGGCTATTCAAAGAACATGCAG